AGAGCTACAAGTGTAGGGTGAAGTGGAGAGCCATGATCGGCCACGTCCTGAAAGGACACGGCACATAAAAAGAAAGAATTTACGAGAATATTTACAACATTCTAAAAACTAATACTGAATATTGAAACTAATGCAATGCAATATTTATCATTTACCATTTTATAAAGAAATAAATATGAAAACATTTTTTATTTATAAATCCTAAAAAAAAACATTTACTGAATTATTAAAATATGTGAATGAACTATAAGGAAATCTTCATTTACCATTTTATAAGGTTCGAATTGATTGGCATTTAGCCGATGTAATGTCAACCATTCCAATAAAAAATCTAATAAATAAATAGTATTTATTTATTTATTTTACCAATTCTCAAAAACAGAAAATGTATAAATTCACTTATATCAGATGCTTCTGTTTTATGACAATTCTAATCATTGCTTTTTTTTAAAACGATAAATATTGCCTAAGAGTGAATGTGGTTAAAATGTACAGGGTGTTATTGGAAAAAACAGTCATTTTGATGCTTTATTTAACCACGTTTGCTAACAATGTTTACCAAATGTCTCAAGTATAAACCTGTTATGGTCCTAATTCCTTGTACCACGGTAATGGTCCAAGGTTCCTTGTACCACGGTAATAGTCCAAGGTTAGAAACAAGGTTAGAACACAGGTATGGAATACAAAGATATATTACGACAGAAATATAATACAAAGAAGTAGAAGTATTAGTAATGGCTATCAGATTTGGTTAGAGTGAACTATGTTTTCTCGACAAGTATCACTATTCCAATGTCCTTACAATATGCTCTCAATTATCTCTCCTCGTCTTACAAATCTCCTATATACTTCTTAAGAGGCGCAGTATTTATAATGTCAGGAATAGTCCATTATTATTATGGGTAAGTTCCCATAACAAAACTAAACCCATATTTGCCATTTCACTCAAGCGTAATAGTCACTGATTCAAACATTAAAATCAAAAGAAGACTTTGTTGTAGTATGTTAATATATATTACCATTTGTAGATGTCTGTTTATTAACATGACCAACGATTTAAATTTAACGTAGAATACCACAAAATATTAAACAAGGAGGAACAAAAACGGTTTTATAACAACAATATTTATATTTATTTTTGTGTAATGATGTACATCCGTAGATTTTGGTGTTATGTTCCTTTGACTGAATTAAAGTTTTACTGAAGAAATTAAAATATTTTTTATCTGAGCTCACAAAAGTTGAATGAATAATAAAGTTGAGAAATGATGAATAAACTTTTGACTTTAGAAGAGTATTTCAAAGAGGAAAGTTCTTTGTTTGGAAAATGTTTTTTTTTTTTTTTGTTTATAATGTATTTTGGAAATTTTCGTACGTAAGTGCAAGCGTGAATATATTTTTAACGTCTGACCGCACATGGTCGAGACGGGATCCTTTAAGGTTACATCTTCGCAGGAAAAGAGGAGAGAGAAAAGAAAAAAGAGATAGAGCAAGCTTGTGTCTGCTATTTATAATTAATGTAATCACGTGACAGTCTCCCAGGAAAATGCCAGGAAAACTTGAACTGGTCACGCGCTGGAACAAATATTTGTGCGTGGGTGGATTGCAACGCCCACTTGTGTGTTTATTGACCAAATAGAAGCTGATGTTTCGTGAAAAGCTTTTGATCCCCTTTTTGCACAGATTTGTACAAAATTCAACATTGGTAAGAAAGTGGTAGCTGTATGTTAAATCTTCATAGATCGTAAAATACGCAAATATTTTTTATTCTACTGTTTTTGAAACATTTCTTGAAGATCTCTAATCTCTTTTCAACAGGAAAAAAAAAAGATGTCATTGATGCCTGAACTGAGAGATTTCTTAGAATTCTTCCTTATGATGTGAAATTCAATCGCCAGGAATAGTATCCCACAACGGGAATCACAAAGAACTGAACAGAAACCAAATGAATTTTTTATTCAGAAAGATTTTCTATATTATTAAATTATGTGAACCAACTATAAGGAAATCTTTATTATTTACCATTTTATAAAGTTCGAATTTGTTGGCAGTTAGCCGATGTTTACCAATCATTCCAAAAATAAAAAATAAAAATAGTATATATGATTTTTGCTGCCAATTCTCAAAAACAAAGAAAATGTATAAATTCACTTTCGTCATATGTTTTGGTTTTATTGCAATTCTATTCATTGCTTTTTAAAACAATAAAATATTGCCGTAAAGTGGAAGTATTTAAAAACAAAACGCTCATTGGTAAAAACGTTTTTATTGAGAGCTACAAGGGGTAGAAGAGAAGCGGAGAGCTATAATCGCCTACATTCTCAAAGGACACAGCACATAAAAAGAAAGAATTTACAATAATATTTACAACATTTTAAAAAACTAATACAAGTATATTAAAACTAATATAATGCGATATTTATCATTTACCAGTTTATAAAGAAATAAATAGAAATATTTTTTTATTCATAAATTTAAAAAAATATTTGCTATATTATTAAAATATGTGAATCATCTCTAAGGAAATCCTTATTTACCATTTTATAAAGTTCGAATTTCGTTACTTAGAATTGTTCCTTATGATGTGAAATGCCATTATCATGAATAGTTTCCCACAACGGTAATCACAATGAACTGTACCAAATAACAGAAACCACGTATTGTTTTTATTCATAAACATTTACAATATTATTAAAATATGTGAACCAACTATAAGGAAATCTTTATTTACCATTTTATAATGTTCGAATTTGATGTCAATTAGCCGATGTTTTACCAATCATTTCCCCAAAAATAGTATATACGATTTTTGTTGCCAATTCTCAGTAACAAAGAATATGTATAAATTCACTTTTATCATATGTTTAGGTTTTATTACAATTCTAATCATTGCTTTTTTTGCCGTAACGTAGAGATATTTAAAAACAAAACGGTGTCATGGGATAAACAGTTCTTATTGAGAGCTACAAAGGATGGGGTGAAGTGGAGAGCCATCATCGTCTACGTCCTGAAAGGTCACAGCGCATAAAAAGAAAGAATTTACAAGAGTATTTACAACATTATAAAAACTAATACAATCATATTAAAGCTAATAAAATGCGATATTTTTCATTTACTATTTTATAAAGAAATAAATATGAAAACATTTTTTATTCATAAATTAAAAAAAAAAAATTACTGAATAATTAAAATATGTGAATCATCTCCAAGGAAATCCTTATTTACCATTTTATAAAGTTCGAATTGTTTGGTAATTAGCCGATGTTTTTCAAATAATTCCAATCAAGAATCTAATAAATAAATACTATTAGTATTTAGTATTTATTTTTGTTGCCAATTCTCAAGAACAAAGAAAATAATGTGTAAATACACTTTCATCATATGTTTAGATTTTATGACAATTCTAATTATTGGTTTTTAAAGCAACGTACATTGCCATAGAGTGAAGGTATTTAAAAACAAAACAGTATCATGGGAAAAAACGTTCTTTTGACTATCCGAAGGGGGAGTCTTCTTTGTGTGTGTGCGTTTGCGCATTTCTATGTGTGTGTGCGTGTGTGTGTATGTGTACGGCTGCACGTGTGTGTATGTTCACATGTTTAGAATGTTATAGTTTGTCGTATTTTTTTTTTTTACTTCTGAATGGCAGAAGTGTGGTACTTTCTCGAACGGTAAAATTAGCCCAACGGTCCCCAGGATCTTGAGCAGTGATGATTTTTTTTTCTATAGAATTGTAACTGATAAGCTTTACATAGAAGAATAATTTTCTGTTTTGAAATATGGGCCAAAGTGGTCTTTTTTTTTATTCCGTTTTCAGAGAACAAAGATGAAAGCTCTCTGTTTATATATGTTAATTCTATACGTCAGTATATATTTTTTTCTTTTTCGGGTGTTGCTGCAACAAAAGAGAAAAAATTATAGAAACAAAATGAGCAAAACGGTAATGCCAAACTCGCAAATCGATGTTGGCCTAACGCCGTAAAGAAAACAAACATTCCCGACCACAAAGAAAAAAAATAAAACCCCGAAAAATTGAATAGGCAAGGGTAAGCAACAGCGGGACAAGATGAGAGAGTCTGGAAGACCCAGTTTCCGTTCTGCTACGCAGTTAATGCACTTTTCTATTTTATTATTTTTATCTAATTAGATATGCAAACGCTGTTCCTTGGGCAAATATTCATGCCACAGAAAATATATTGATCTATCCGTCGAGTTGATATGTAAAACGGAAATTCTAACAGTTTTCTCTTTATAATAAACGAAACAGAGAAAAACACTTAAGGCAAAACCCAAAAGTTAGTGTCCATCATTACCATATTAAGGGGGCTTTGTGTCAGCAGGTAACGCAATAAAAACCAATGGGAACCCCGAGGTTCTGCAAAACCAAACCCCCACAACACAGGCGTGTCCTGGGTAAGACGATGAACTACATCCTCGTCCTGGGTAAGACGATAAACTATATCCTCGTCCTGGGTAAGACGATAAACTACATCCTCGTCCTGGGTAAGACGATAAACTATATCCGACAGCAAGGCTTCTGATCGGAAGGTTTTGAGTAGCATGCAACTACCTCTTTATTTTTGGTGTTCCCAGGTCCACACTGACCCGGAGTAGTAGCACCTGCTAGGGTCCCAGCTATGGCCAAAAATTGAACACCGAAACTACATCCAAGTCCTGGGTAAGACGATAAACTCTATCCGGCAGCACGGTCCCTGATCAGGAGGTTTTTTTTTTAGAAGCGTGGAACCGCCTCTTAATTGCTGGTGTCATGTTGACCAAAAAAATCACGAAGTCCGCGAAATGCATTTCTGTTTGAACATCCATTTTGGTAATAGGCTTCCATAACTTTAACACGTTGTTTGATTGTTAATCTTTCCATGGTTGAAATTGCCAAAGACTTAAGTTGTTAAATCTGAAAGAAAAAGAAAAAAATCATTAGACGCTTAAACTTAATTCACATTTAAATTCGGTCCAAGTTATTGGAACAACCTTTATTTCAGTCTGTTCATATCTATCTATCTATCTATCTATCTATCTATCTATCTATCTATCTATCTGTCATTATATTCATGTCAATCTATCTATCTATCTCATTATGTTCATGCCAATCTATCTATCTATCTATCTATCTATCTATCTATCACAGTCTGTTCATATCTATCTATATTTTTTCCGACTGTTAATATCTATTATCAGTCTGTTTCCATATATCTATGTTTCTACATACACTCATTCCCTGATATTTAGTAATTTTGCCCATAAATATAGCATACTGTTAAACTATATTCTATTATATATATATATATATATATATATATATATATATATATATATATATATATATAACAAGAACAAAGAAGTAAAAGTCAATCAAAGATAATTAACCATTTCAGTAAATACCTTGTTAGTAGCAATGGCGCGGCTTCACGTCCGGCAAATCCTAAATGAAAACCAAAATCATCGATGCATAATAATTCACACTAATTCGACTGGATAGTTCCACTCAGTAGTCGCTCAATAATCACTCCAGTCAGTAGCCTGACACCGCTAATTATACACCTGGCAGAAAACATATATTCATAAATCTAGAGTGTCACGCTCAAACCTCATTTTCTCCCTATATGACACACACACACACACACATACATATATATATATATAATTATTTATTTAAAAATATGATTCCAATGCTACATAAGAGTTCTCATGTTTCAAAACAAGAGCCGAACACTTCAATATAATTATTTGAATTAAATTGAATTAAAGTACCAAGCTCTGTTCCCTCTTCAAGCGAAATATATATGAATAATTTTAAGAAAATCTGAGCAACTCTAAAAGGAGCATGGCCAAACTTGCTTATTGTCAAGAAATGTTCAAAAGTACAACCACCAACCCTCTGAGGTTTGTCGTAGTCAGTCACTGCCTACCTGTTTTTTTACTCTATATATATATATATATATATATATATATATATATATATATTTTTGTGTATATATATATATATATATATATATATATATATATATATATAAGCTTCTTCTCCTCCGAGGAGGACAGACTGGTTCTATAGCCTTGAATGGCAATGATTGTACAAGGATAAACCGGCTTGTAGAGGGTTGGGCTCCTTCAGGCTATGTTGCTCAAGAAACACTTTTTGCCAACAAGCAAATTTTGAGTTTATTTATGCTTCCTCGGTACACAATGTAGCACTACGGGTCACGGGATGAAAAAAAAGTCTACCTATTGTTGAGCATTTAGGCAGCGCTTAAATTACGACTGCAACGGTGAGTTCGATCCTTACTTTCGACCTATGTGACGCTTCGTAAATCCCAATACAGAATCTCTTTTTATCGCTTTAAACGCTAGTTTAACGGATACCCATATTTCAGTAGACACGGCTTCCATTTATTAAAATGTATATTTTTTTCTTTTCGTCTAAAGGCCTGAATATCCGAGAACTCTTCTTAAAACGCTCAATGGAAAGAGGGAAACCGTCGACATTTGACGTGCCTTGACCAACTCAGTCATGGAGGACTGTTGGCGGTCAAGAAAATCTGAAATAGAACCTTAAATGAAATCTTTCTCGTCTTAATTCCTCGAAATTTCCATATAAGCTGAGTTTCGCATCCAAGTCATTTTCTCAGGTAAGGATTTTATATTTATCATTATTTTTCGTGGATACTCATATTTAAGTAGAGGTTTCATTATTAAAGAGCATTTCTCTAACATTTAGGCCGGTAGAGAAAAATAAATATTTTCCTCTACCGGCCTAAATGTTAAAGAAATCTAATTTTAAAATGCATCCCTCTTAGCAATGTTTCTAACTCGTCCACACTCAGTCAACCTTTGTGAAATATTAGCTTTACTGCCTTACTCGAGGAACTCCCTACCAACTCCATGCTTTCAAGCACTCTATAATTTTCAAATATATAAATGCAATGTCAATCGCCATCTACTGTCCTCCTGATTACTCTTTCCTCTTCCCACTCATTATTAATGTTTCTGTTCCTAAATCTTCCACACCCAGTAACCCCTTGTGTCTTAGTGGCTTTACTGCCTTGCTTGTGGAACTCCCTTCCAGCTCCATGCTTTCCAGCCAACTTTAATCTACAAATATTTAAATGCAATGTCAATCGCTATCAACTGTCCTCCTGATTACTCTTTCCTCTTCCCGCTCATTATTAATGTTTCTATTCCTAATTCTTCCACACCCAGTAACCCCTTGTGTCTTAGTGGCTTTACTGCCTTGCTTGTGGAACTCCCTTCCGACTCCATGCTTTCCCGCCAACTTTAATCTTCAAATATTTAAATGCAATGTCAATGGCCATCTACTATCCTCCTGATTACTCTTTTCTCTTCCCGCTCATTATTAATGTTTCTGTTCCTAAATCTTCCACACCCAGTAACCCCTTGTGTCTTAGTGGCTTTATTGCCTTGCATGGGCTGAAATTGATTAAACAAATATTAAATCTTAAATGATAATCTACATAGTGATAATAAAATAATAAATAAAGTAGGTAAAGATTTAGCTTCTGTCAACATGATAAACGCAGAAAATAATGGGACAGGTGATTCTAACGAGATATTTGAGTTTAAATAGCCTTGAAAGATAATACAGCCGTAATTTCATCAGATTGACTTGACTTTCGATTAGTTCTTTTATTGTCTTCTCTCCTTAATAGTAGTTTTTTCTCATATTCTCTAACACTCAGTAACACCTTTGCGTCCTAGTGGCTTTTATTTTTTGATCTTCAAAATTGAAATACAATGTCAATCTTTATCTTCTGTCTTCTTAATTCTTGTTCTTTTATTGTCTTTCTCTTTTTTAATAATAGTTTTTCTCATATTCTCTAACACTCAGTAACTCCTTGCGTCCTAGTGGTTTTATTGCCTTCGATCTTCAAAAATTAAATACAATGTCAATCGTTATCTTCTTTTTTTTTTTTTGCCTACTTAATTCTTGTTCTTTTTATTGTCTTCTCTGCTTAATAATAGTTTTTTCTCATATTCTCTAACACTAAGTAACCCTTGCGTCCTAGTGGCTTTATTGCCTTTGATCTTCAAAAATTTAAATGCAATGTCAAACTTTATCTTCTGTCTTCTTAATTCTTGTTGTTTTTATTGTCTTCTCTCCTTAATAATAGTTTTTTTCATATTCTCTAACACTAAGTAACCCCTTGCGTCCTAGTGGCTTTATTGCCTTTGATCTTCAAAAATTTAAATGCAATGTCAAACTTTATCTTCTGTCTTCTTAATTCTTGTTCTTTTATTGTCTTCTCTCCTTAATAATAGTTTTTCTCATATTCTCTAACACTAAGTAACACCTTGCGTCCTAGTGGCTTTATTGCCTTTGATCTTCAAAAATTTAAATGCAATGTCAAACTTTATCTTCTGCTTTCTTAATTCTTGTTCTTTTATTGTCTTTCTCCTTTAATAATAGTTTTTCTCATATTCTCTAACACTAAGTAACCCCTTTGTCCTAGTGGCTTTTTATTGCCTTTGATCTTCAAAAATTGAAATGCAATGTCAAACTTTATCTTCTGTCTTCTTAATTCTTGTTCTTTTATTGTCTTCTCTCCTTAATAATAGTTTTTCTCATATTCTCTAAAACTAAGTAACCCCTTGCGTCCTAGTGGCTTTATTGCCTTTGATCTTCAAAAATTTAAATGCAATGTCAAACATTATCTTCTGTCTTCTTAATTCTTGTTCTTTTATTGTCTTCTCTCCTTAATAATAGTTTATCTCATATTCTCTAACACCCAGTAACTCCTTGCGTCCTAGTGGCTTTATTGCCTTCGATCTTCAAAAATTAAATGCAATGTCAATCGTTATCTTCTGCTTTCTTAATTCTTGTTCATTTATTGTCTTCTCTCCTTAATAATAGTTTTTCTCATATTCTCTAACACTCAGTAACTCCTTGCGTCCTAGTGGCTTTATTGCCTTCGAACTTCAAAAATTAAATACAATGTCAATCGTTATCTTCTGTCTTCTTAATTCTTGTTCTTTTATTGTCTTCTCTCCTTAATAATAGTTTTTCTCATATTCTCTAACACTCAGTAACTCCTTGCGTCCTAGTGGCTTTATTGCCTTCGATCTTCAAAAATTAAATGCAATGTCAATCGTTATCTTCTGCCTTCTTAATTCTTGTTCTTTTATTGTCTTCTCTCCTTAATAATAGTTTTTCTCATATTCTCTAACACTCAGTAACTCCTTGCGTCCTAGTGGCTTTATTGCCTTTGATCTTCAAAAATTGAAATGCAATGTCAATCATTATCTTCTGTCTTCTTAATTCTTGTTCTTTTATTGTCTTCTCCTTAATAATAGTTTTTCATATTCTCTAACACTCAGTAACTCCTTGCGTCCTAGTATTTTATTGCCTTCGATCTTCAAAAATTAAATGCAATGTCAGTCGTTAACTTCTGTCTTCTTAATTCTTGTTCTTTTATTGTCTTCTCTCCTTAATAATAGTTTTTTCATATTCTCTAACACTCAGTAACTCCTTGCGTCCTAGTGGCTTTATTGCCTTCGATCTTCAAAAAAATTAAATACAATGTCAATCGTTATCTTCTGCCTTCTTAATTTTTGTTCTTTTATTGTCTTTCTCCTTAATAATAGTTTTTTTTCTCATATTCTCTAACACTAAGTAACCCCTTGCGTCCTAGTGGCTTTATTGCCTTTGATCTTCAAAATTGAAATGCAATGTCAATCATTATCTTCTGTCTTCTTAATTTTTGTTCTTTATTGTCTTTCTCTCTTTAATAATAGTTTTTCTCATATTCTCTAAAAACTAAGTAACCCTTGCGTCCTAGTGGCTTTATTGCCTTTGATCTTCAAAAATTGAAATGTAATGTCAAACTTTATCTTCTGTCTTCGAATTCTTGTTCTTTTATTGTCTTCTCTCCTTAATAATTTTTTTCTCATATTCTCTAACACTCAGTAACTCCTTGCGTCCTAGTGGCTTTATTGCCTTCGATCTTCAAAATTAAATACAATGTCAATCGTTATCTTCTGCCTTCTTAATTTTTGTTCTTTTATTGTCTTTCTCCCTAATAGTAGTTTTTTCATATTCTCTAACACTCAGTAACCCCTTGCGTCCTAGTGCTTTTATTGCCTTTGATCTTCAAAAATTGAAATGCAATGTCAATCATTATCTTCTGTCTTCTTAATTTTGTTCTTTTATTGT